TCCGCATGAATCAGCCGATTAAGAATCCGTATGTGGAAGCATTCTTTCAATTGGGCACTAATATTCCGTGTCAATCGCAGCAGTCCAGAGGAGCAGTGGCAAACATTTGCACGAATATCACGCAAACTAATTGGTGTCCCGAAAGTACCAATTCAAAACTCAGAAGTTACCTAACCGACAAGAACACATGGCTAGTTATTGCACTCTGGTAAACTAATCCAGTGATTGTCGATCGTACAATTGAAAAATTATACGATTTATTGAGGTGGAACTGACTGTGAACCAGTTGCAGTGCACATTTGCTTGAACTTCTCAAAAACACGTTCCGATTTTGTGTTACTGAACGCAGAGTTAATCTTCATCAAGGGACAATCCGCCCTTAAACCCGTGGAGCGGTTGTTTTTGTTCAAGAACACTTTTATTACGTGGATTAAGATGCAAACCCAGAACATAGTGCAGATTCAAGATCGATGCAAGCAAATTCGAACACAATCATCTTACATGGATAACAAGGATATAGGATGAAATTCTGTGGCAAAAGGGGTGAACTGTGGATGCTTTTGTTCATGAATATCACTCAATGAGATGTGATTTAAACATTTTCAGCCGCTTTTGTCATCTCTGTGAAACGTTGCGATCGAGTGAGAGTGAGTTGCGCAAATATATCGTCAACGATGGTACGCCTGAATGCGCTACCGACAAACAACATCAGAAGATTAGTTTCAAGGTATGATTTATTTGTGAGTTGATTTGTTCTCAACGAGAGCTGAATGACTTTCTTCGAGTTCCATTTCTCAACTTTTGACAGTTTATCTATCATATTGTGAGCAAAACTGGACAGACAAGTCTTTCATAATCCACTTGAATAGCGCTCACTACATTTCGATAGTGTCCAAGTTGTTGAGCAAATCAAAATTCGAGTTTTGACAACCGAAAAAAATGGCAACATTAAGCACACGGCCTTCAAGTGAGCCAACACTCCAAAAGTTTATATGAAATGATTGAAGAAAGTTGTTGTATTCTTTCACTGAATTAAACGTGTAAGTGATGCAGATACGAAATAGTTTTTTCACAATAAAATTCCACTAGATTTGCACACCAAGCAAAGAAGAATGGCGTGAACAGAATCAAGAGCATGAAGAGAAACTCCAGCAATATTGGAACTATTTAAAACAGGTTAGTGGCCCTCAATCGCATGACGCCAATTCTGGGCATGCGTTACTATCTCAGAATTATAGCCTTTCCTCGCAGTCAGAAAGCGAGCCTGTTGAGGCTGGCTTGTTAGTCAAGAGAATCTGAAGCAAACTTCTTTAATTTCTTGAAACACTCTGGATAATTCCAACCGAAAATTGAATGTGCTAATTACACACTTTTTCACTGATTTGAAATGATCGAACATAATAAATTTAGCTTCTTACATATTATGTGGCTTGTAAGTGTCTAAAGTCGCCGAAATAGTCTCTAAGTGATAACTGTTACTGCATGATAACTGTTCAAATATCTGATCAAATGTTTGATCAGTCAAAAGAACCAACGGTAATTCTTTTGATGCAGGGAGTGTTAACGACAGTTATTCATGTGATGGAACGTCAAGAACCGAATGAAAAACGTATGGAACAATGTCGCCGTCTATGCTCAGTGTTATCCTCTCAGAAGGCGCTCTCATCATCCTACAAAACCACTCTGTTGCATTCAATCGAGAAGATGTGCACTCCGAACGATTCATACACAGCATGTGTTTATCATACAATGAAATTTGATGTGAATGAAGATTCTCGTTGATTCAAGAAACACACTCGTTACGGCTTTTTTTTAAATGTTCATATTGTCATTATTGACAGAACTAACGCAAACGTTTGCCAGCTAATATTACCAAATGATTCCCGATTGAAATCATATTAGAATGAATCTGCATGTGTTAGAAGAATATGGATTCTTCGTATCAGCTGGGAATAATTACCTCTGGGCATATGAATTGATTTTGATGACGACGCATTTCAAAAATTCTACGTTAAATAATCTGCATATTAGTTTGCTTTATTGCATATGTCTAGAGTTTGAGCATGCAAAATTGCTTTTGCTTATGAAATCTGATGCTGTAA